TAAATAATAATAATAATAATAATTATATTTAAAATTTTAAAGTATAATAATAATAATAATAATAATAAATAATAATAATATAAAATTATTATTTATTATTATTATTATATTATTATTTTTATTATTTATTATTATTCTTGTATTGTTTTCGTTAATTTTCTCTTTTTCTTCTTCTTCTTCTTCTTCTTCTTATTATTATTATTATTATTATTATTATTATTATTATTATTATTATTATCAACATTGTGTTAAGTGACTTACTCTCTGGATCCATCTACAGTCTTGTTCGTCTTGCCATTCAAATGGTGGGATGAGAATGTCAATTATTTTCTCTCCTCTCTCCCTCTCTGTCAGGTCTTCTTCCTCTTCGTCATCTGCCAATAATCACCTTCAGTGTGTTAAGTCGGTCTATTTTGAAAAAAAACTGAAGGGTATGATTATAGGCCACTTTAGAATTAAACTTATTTTAAATTATAGAAAAATAATATATTCATTATAAAATCCTATTTTAAATTCAAGGTATAAATAGACCTAAAAGGGTTGACAGGAGAGCAACGGGATTTATATCTACAGTTCACTTTTCTGTTGCAAGTAAATTTACATAATTTATTTAATATATCTGGTATCTTATTTTCACTAATAAGATATCTTAACATATTACGTAGGTTATTATACTGTCTATCTCTATATTACTCAATAAGTGGACAATTTAGCACACAATATTCAAGATAATGGCCATAGGGCCGACCACATACTTGGCATTTAGTTTGATCATCATCTGTGTGTCTCCCAAACTGCCAGAAGTACTTATAACCAAGCCTAAGTCTGGCCACTACAACATCAGTCAGTACTTGTAACCAATCCTAAGTCTGGCCACTACAATATTAGTCAGTACTTGTAACCAAGCCTAAGCCTGGCCACTGCAACATCAGTCAGTACTTGTAACCAAGCCTAAGCCTGGCCACTACAACATCAGTCAGTACTTGTAACCAATCCTAAGTCTGGCCACTACAACATCAGTCAGTACTTGTAACCAAGCCTAAGCCTGGCCACTGCAACATCAGTCAGTACTTGTAACCAAGCCTAAGCCTGGTCACTACAACATAAGTCAGTACTTGTAACCAAGCCTAAGCCTTGCCACTACAACATCAGTCAGTACTTGTAACCAAGCCTAAGCCTGGTCACTACAACATCAGTCATTACTTGTAACCAAGCCTAAGCCTGGCCACTACAACATCAGTCATTACTTGTAACCAAGCCTAAGCCTGGCCACTACAACATCAGTCATTACTTGTAACCAAAGCCTAAGCTGGTCACTACAACATCAGTCATTACTTGTAACCAAGCCTAAGCCTGGCCACTACAACATCAGTCATTACTTGTAACCAAGCCTAAGCCTGGCCACTACAACATCAGTCATTACTTGTAACCAAAGCCTAAGCCTGGTCACTACAACATCAGTCATTACTTGTAACCAAGCCTAAGCCTGGCCACTACAACATCAGTCATTACTTGTAACCAAGCCTAAGCCTGGCCACTACAACATCAGTCATTACTTGTAACCAAGCCTAAGCCTGGCCACTACAACATCAGTCATTACTTGTAACCAAAGCCTAAGCCTGGTCACTACAACATCAGTCATTACTTGTAACCAAGCCTAAGCCTGGCCACTACAACATCAGTCAGTACTTGTAACCAAGCCTAAGCGTGGCCACTACAACATCAGTCAGTACTTGTAACCAAGCCTAAGCCTGGCCACATTTTCCTTCAGGGTATTTCACTTGGCTAATGTATCAACTTTATAATCAAGGAGTAATCCAATAAGTGATGGAATCCATAGCAATTCTACATTGATTCCTTTTTCGCTGCTTCTCCACTGAGCCATGTTGGTAGTCATTATATGACTCAAGAGTCTTCAGGGAGGACATAGAATCAATAATAATCACAGAGTTAGCTTTAGTGCCATGAGGATGACAAACATTTCAGTTGGCAGTATAGACACCCAGTTCAACAAAGTTCTTATCATTCTGAACTAGGAAGGTAGCAACAAGAGCAGATGCAGCAATGTAAGTGCACTTCCGCTTAGATCCGTCTGTGTATGTAACTTGGTGATAAATTATTACTCTGAGCTAGGCGAGAAATTATTATTGACATTTCCTTGGGACAAGTGATTTAAGGAAGGGATTACTAGTGATGAACTTCTTGGGAGGGACTTGCAGGTATGTAATATTAAACACACCTTCCAGGCAGGAGTGAAATGCTCTAGTTGATACATTTCGTGCAAGTTATGAAACAATGTAATTGAATGTTTTCTAGGTATTTAGTAAGATTCATAGTGAGAATGTCTGGTTCATTTCTTAACATTCTAATACTAAGTCCAATAGCAATCTCAATAATATTTTCACTTGCACTAGAGACACCAATCTCCTTCCTCATATTAAGAACTTTGATAGATTTAAGACAGCTAAGAATAATTCTGAAAGCTTCGTTTTGTATTAAGTTCAAGGGCCGGGGAGAATTTTGTTTATCTAAAATCAACATGTGCGCAGCCTTGTCAGTTAAGAATCTAACATAGATTATGTACATTAATCTCACTATTGTCACATTAACACCATAGTTGGGGTTACTTAGAAAGAAAATCCTCTTAAAAATTGATAAATATTACTAATATTTTCCTAACTTATCTTCAGATATGTTTACTTTTAAAACATTCGCAAAGTTTTCCAGTCACCTTTTATTAAGTACGTACAGATACCTGGAACATGTCACATCTAATTCTTAAATCACACTAATGTTTATACTAAGTGGGACACTTTAAGTTGTCTTGCAGGAACATAATATTACATCATGGAAAGATCCATCAGGGACTGAACACAAGACTGATGGACTGAACTTATCGACTCAACGTTGAGGGACTAATTACCTCACATTACTCATCTTCCATTGTTTCTCTGCATTTGACTGAAGAAGCCACTGAGTGCCGATATGTTTCCAGAATGATTCCCAAGTTTTATTTATCAACTACCGTTAATGTTTGTCCTGAAGATCTGAAACAAATCAGACGAGTCATTCAAAATTTATCACGTGGAAACTTATACCTGGAGTATACCTGGAGAGAGTTCTTGGGGTCAACGCCCCCGCGGCGCTGTCTGTGACCAGGCCTCATGGTATACCAGGGCCTGATCAACCAGGCTGTTACTGCTAGCCGCACGCAGTCCAACGTACGAACCACAGTCCGGCTGGTCAGATACTGACTTTAGGTCGCAAATTCCAACATAAAGTGCGCAAAACTAATTTAGATCTTCCACCAAGAAACTCCAATTTTTGAAGCTAAACTAAAGGGTGGTATTATTTGTTTATCTCAAAGTGACCGATATATTAATATAGCGGCCCTCGCAGCAAAGGTTTTTTGCTAAAAAAATTTCGGATTCGGGGAAGGTTTTATGGGAAAAGCACGGGTTTTGGGAAATTGAGTTGGGGGGAATGTGTGGAAAAAACCCCCGAGTCAGTTTTTTCAGGCTAAAACGTTGTGTATTTTTAAAATTTTTAGGTTTAAAAAAATATGAGGGGTTTTAAGTGGGTGTGGTTGGACATGACTAGCTTGTGCTACTTGGTCATTTGGGCCGTCCCCTTCCTTAAGTAAATTGTGCCTGACTAAATTAGGTAAAGGGAAATTTGGGTTTAAAAACCAGGGGGAATTTGGGCCCTGCCTCGCTTAGGAAATTTGGCCTTTTTCCCGTTTTCCCCTTCCTTCTTATGTTCTTAATAAAAAAACACACCAGTACATTAATTTAAAGGCCCACCAGTTTAAAAAAAATTAAGACCTTAAAATTTGAGACACTAAAAAAATTATCGCCCAAAAATCGGGCTTTTCCCCATTGCCCCAAATTTTTCCATTAAAAAGGGGCAAATTTGGGCCTACCCAAGCCGAAATCAAAGTTATATAAAAATTTTTTTTTTTAAATTTGTTTTTAGGGCCCCAAAACAGGGTTATGGGAAACCATAGGTTTATTATGAAAGTTTAAAAAACCCACTGGTTTAACCCCCAATAAAGTCAAGAGTCTGGAACGCACTTTATTTATTTTATTTAAAAGGATTCGAGCGTTTCCCGTTCCTTGAGAGACCTAAAAATTGCCTCCTGGACGGCCACCCGGGCTTTTCTCCCTTCCCCAGGGAGGGCCCAAACCCGGGCAGTTTGCCTTTCGGCGGCCCCCCCGGGCATTTCGCCCCCCTGGGGGAGGGCCCCCCGGGGCGTACTGCCCCCTCAGGACGGCCACCCGGGCAGAAACTGCCTCTCGGGGCGGCCACCCGGGCAGTACTGCCTCTCAGGACGGCCCCCGGGCATTTAAATCCCTTTCTGGACGGCCCCCGGGGAGGAAACCCCTTAAGGACGGCCACCCGGGAAAGGTTAATTGCCCCCAAACCCCCAAGGAAACCCCCGGGCAGTAAGGCCCCTACAGGACGGCCCCCCGGGCATTTCTGCCTCTCAGGAGGGAAACCCGGGGGAAAGTACTGCTCCCCGGAGGGGCCACCGGGCATTTCCCCTTTACCGGGGAGGGCCCCAAAAGGAAAATTTAGCCTCTCAGGACGGCCCCCGGGGGGGCAGTACTGCCTCTCGGGGAGGGCCCAACCCCCGGGCCCCAAAGTATTTCCCTCTAAGGCGGAAAAACCCGTTTGGGGCCAGTTCCGCCCTCTCAGGACGGCCACCCAGGCCAGTACTGCCTCTCAGGACGGGCACCCGGGAGTTTCCCTTTCTAAAAGGGGGGCCACCCCGGGGGCATTTATGCCTTTTGGGAGGGCCCCAAGGGCATGTATTATTGGCCCACCCCTCTTCTAAACGGCCCCCGGGCCTCCCCCAGGGGCCAAGGGGTTTTCTCCCTTCCTGGAGGGGGAATTTCTGCCCCGGGACGGGGGCAGTTTTTGCCCCCCCGGGGGCAATTAAAAACCCGGAGCCCCCCCGGGCCCAGTTTGCCCTTCGGGGCGGCCACCGGGCAGTACTCCCTCTAAGGCCCGGCCCCCCGGGCCATTTCTGCCTCTCGGGGAGGGCCACCCGGGCGTACTGCCTTCCGGAAACGGCCCCGGGGTATGCCTTCGGGCGGAAAAGGGCAGTACTGCTCTCAGGACGGAAAACCCGGGGCAGTACTGCCCTCTCAGGACGGCCACCCGCGGGCAATTTGCCCCCTCAGGCCGGCCCAAATTCCCGGGGCCCAGTTGCCTCTCGGGACGGCCCCCCGGGAAAGTACTCCCCCCTTTTGGGGGCGGCCACCCGGGCGGGTTACTGCCCTCTCAGGACGGCCACCCGGGCAGTACGGGCCTTTTCCCCGGAGGGGCCACCCGGGCTGTATTTGCCTCTCGGGCCGGGGCCCCAAAACCG